CCCCAGCAGGAATATACAGACAAACCACTTCTTCAATCTAGTATGAATCTCATTAGACCAGTTGCTTGTCCAGTCCTCTAGTCTAGCCCACGTCTCAGTCCCATTCACACCTGTCTCATTTACTGCACTACCTCTTGTCTCCAGCCGCTATGCAATACAACGTCCTTGGAGGCGCTATAAACAACACAAGCAGCTGACAAGTTCAAGTCGCCAGCTAGTGTGCGTTTGTCTTCCACCAAGTCATCTGCACTTCCAGCAATGGCCCTGCTGAAATCCACCAAGATTTTGACTAGTGTCGGGGCTCAGGCCCCTGTTTTAGCAGTCCTACAACTCCGTGCAAGGTAACTTGAGACTTTATTTTTCTTATGTAACCACTCTGTTTCCAAGTTAGTTTGTGCTAGCAAGTTAGCGGACTGAGCATTAGAGCAGCACAGCACCGTTGAAAGTTACAGTATGCCACTTTACTGTAACACATGAAATATTGCCCTTGTGCTTATAATGAAACATAGTTATAAATGCATTAATGCCTTCGATATTTAACGAGAGTTTTTAACTTTTAACTCACTTAAAGAGTTATTTTTAGTTATTGAAAACTTTTTCTATTCTATCTACTTGTTTTTCTTTGTGTGTGTCTAAAAACAAAACAAGCAAACAAACAAAAAAAAAATTGCTATGTATATGTTACATATGCTATTAGGTGAAACCCTGCCTCCTGCCCCTATACTACTATACTTTATCTTTCAACAAGACATTTTAATACCATATTATGTCGGTCAATGTCAGAAGTTATTATATCATGAGATCAGCAGATTGACGAGATATTTCAGATATATCAGGTTCAACTAGGCCTAACTGGCTACCTTACCTAGGACTAATCTAGGTCTGATTCATGGTTCATAGATGTTTCTGTGTCCGTTTGGTGGTATTATAGCATGATTAGTGCGAGTTAAACAAAGCAGCCACCTTAGAAGGATTTTTATTTCTGTTACTGCTGTTTCTATTAGTGAAAGTATAAAGTTACATCAATAACCACTGTTGATGCAGGTTGCCAGGCACCTAGCTAGGGTACTTCAAAAAAAATTTTTTTTTACTTTTATTCATTCATTTAATTTATTTTTGTCTGCTAATTTTTATCTACTTGTTCAGTCATTTGTAATTTTCTCTTAACTTTTTGTCAGCTAGCAGTACATTTAAATATTTTACTTCAAGAACATATTAATTCATAAATGTATTCATTTATTTTATGTGCTTATTTTATTTAATTTGTTTTTATATCTGCTTAGTTTATTATTTGTATTTACATTTCCTTTTTTATCCTTCTTTTTAACTTTTAATATATATATTATTATTTTTTATTTGTCCGTTTTGGGTTTACTTAAATATATGTGACTGAAGTTATCTGTGAGGAACATGATAAAAAGAACATGCTCTTGTAACACCTCATTAAACCTACTTCTTCCAAACTGGCCAATCACTACAGCCCGTTCTCAGTCAGAAACATGCATGTCTACATAAAACCCCAAATGCTCCTTAAACATTACATTATTGTAATTAATTAATGTTTTGCATTTTGGGTTTTGCTTGTTGTTGAGGATAAAAAAGTAGCAGTGTGTCTCAAATGCAAAAAAGTGAGAGGAGCAACTGTGCACGTAGTACTGTTTTGATTGTAGTTCTAGTTGCTGATCGGTACAAGGTGATTGACATTTAGAGCCGGGTTGAAATGGGTAGTGTGTGAGCATGACGCATGATTGGTTCTGATGCAGAGGGTGGAGTGCTGTACACCTCTTTTCATAGGAGTACTGCACTACTTTATGTAGGTGGGGTTTAGATTGGAATTATACTCCCATTTTACACCGGTAATTACAGAGGTGACCTATTGTTTGCCTGTGCAAGCTAACAGATTCTTTATTTAGAAGGACGTGGCCATTCTGAAGGTGTGTGCCAGACACCCATCAGAACAAATACAGGCATGCAACGTGCTTAACAGTAGAGGAGATTTTAAACTCAGACATGACTGTAAGTCTCTTTAATGGTGGTAGAGGAGTTTAGCAGTGCAGTTCAAGCTTTTAATGACTTTCCTTCCAGTTTAAAGAACAGAAGCTCTGTAATGATAATCGCTTTAAACTTATCCAGCTTGGAGAAATTTTAATGAGACGTCCTAAGAATGGGTGGATATTTCTCCTAATGTATACGCAAATTGGTTTTAGAGTCAGACAGTGTAAAGGCAAGGTGGTCTATTTTTAAATATTAGGGATGTTTGAACTTAAGTCTTCGGCACTGCTCCACATTCTTTGGAGTTCACGCGAGTGTTTGACCTCAGTTACTTCCAAATGCTTATGCAAGACTGCAAGTAAAATGTAACAACTTTTAAATATCAATTAGACTTTATATATCATAAAAAATATAATTTAACTTTTAAATATCAATTTCCTATGACAGTGTGCAGTCATAACTATTTGACTGGAGCAGCATACTTGCACTCAATAGTTAACGTAAATGAGTATTCTTTTTTTTTTTTTTAATTCTCAGCTCATGGTGGACTGAGGTACAGATGGGACCCCCTGATCCCATCCTGGGTGTCACAGAGGCGTTCAAGCGTGACACCAACCCCAAGAAGATGAACCTCGGAGTAGGAGCTTATAGAGACGATCAGGGCAAGCCGTTTGTTCTCAACTGTGTCCGAAAGGTGCCATCTTGCATATCTTACACACCTTCAAGTGATAGTGAAAATTCTGTTACATTTAATCACCCTCAAATTGTTCCAAACCTGTGTACATTTCTTTCAGCTGTTGAACACAAAAGAGAATATTTTGAAGATTGTTGGTAACCAAAAAGTTGATGGTAGCCATTGACTTCCATAGTCTGGGGAAAGAAATACAATGGAAGTCAATGGCTACAAGTGGAGGGTGAGCAAATGACAGAATTTTCATTTTTGGGTGAACTATCCCTTTCAATATAATGTAACAATTGGCATACATTATGCTATTGTCTTGTTAGATTCCACTCTGGTTTTACTATTTTACCTTCTAAAACTCTTCTAAACTCTTTTTTTGTTTTATAGCTGGCCTACATTTAAAACAGCAATTGTCCATAATGCTATCCATTTCCAATCAGCCAAATAAAGTTTTTATATTCTAATCCCTGCACAAAACAAATGACAGATTTTTGGTATTGTCAGGCTGAGGCCCAGATTGCTGCTAAGAAGTTGGATAAAGAGTACCTTCCTATTGGAGGGTTGGCAGAATTTTCAAAGGCCTGTGCTCAGCTGGCTCTTGGACCTGATAATGCGGTCTTAAAGAGTGGAAGAGTAAGTATTTTAAAGCAAACCATTTTGAAAGGAAGTCTTTTGATTATTAAATTATTAGATGTGATTGTTAATTGCCAGATTTCTGTGCCCACAGAGCATCACCGTCCAGACTATCTCTGGAACTGGATCTCTACGTGTTGGTGCTAACTTTGTGGTATGACATTTTCATATCATTTTTTGCTTCAATTTTGAGTTTGTAATGCTGTTAGGCCTGATTGCTTCATTTCGAGACTTTTTTTTTTTTTTTTTTTTTTTTTAAATAATGTTATCACTGTTGACTCTATTGTTATGTCTGGTGGTTATTGATTGTAAGGGGGTTAAAATGTATGAAATGTAGTTCACCACAAGTAGTCATCTCTCTCTCCATCTCTCTCACTTTTTCTTGGCTAGTCACGATTCCACAATGTGTCCCAGGATGTGTACCTGCCTAAACCATCCTGGGGTAACCACACCCCTATCTTCAGAGATGCAGGCATGCAGCTAAAGGCCTACTCCTACTATGACCCCAAAACCTGTGGCTTTGACTTTAAAGGAGCCTTGGATGATATTTCAGTAAGAAAAATTTTTTTATATCTTGTACTTTTTGGGGATAAACATTGTACATTTGTTGCATTTTAGCTCGTCTTTTCTTTTGATGCCCCTTTTCTCTGCATAGTCAAGTACTAATAAAGTGTGTGGGGGATCCTACAAATGAAATAAGATTTATGTATTTTTTTTAATAATAATCGCTTTCAGAAAATCCCTGAGAAGAGTGTGATTGTTCTGCACGCGTGCGCTCATAATCCCACAGGAGTGGACCCAAGGCCCGAGCAGTGGAAAGAGATGGCTGCTTTGATCGAGGTAACTGGATTTGGCATTAAATTAAAGTCCAAAATCCAGCTGACAGCAGGTCTCAGAAAAGATTCTCAGTGAAGTGACAGAGAGATATAGTTGTGTTTGACCAGTTGGACCGATAAAAGAATGACTGTCCTCAGTCTCAAATGAATGACGGTTTCAGTGATAATAAGTGTCTTCACTCTCATTTCAACAGAAAAGAAATCTCCTGGTGTTCTTTGACATGGCTTACCAGGGATTTGCCAGTGGCGACATTGATCGTGACGCCTGGGCTGTGCGTTATTTCATTGAGCAGGGGCATAACGTTCTTCTGTCCCAGTCTTTTGCTAAGAACATGGGCCTGTATGGTGAGAATCAAATATATTAAATATATAAAAATATATAAGGCTGCATTTATTTGATCAAAAATACAGTAAAAGCAGTAATTTTGTAAATATTATTACAATTTAAAATAACTGTCAAATAAATTTAGCAAAGCTAAATTTTCAGCAGCCATGACTTAATCCTTTCATTTTTGATTTTTCGCTCAAGGTACATTTTATTATAGTCAATGTTGAAAACCATTGTTCTGCTTATTATTTTTGTGGAAACTACATTTTCTCTCAGTATTCTCTGTTTATTAGAAAGTTCAAAAGAACAGCATTTATTTGAAATATAAATCTTTTTTAACATTATAAATGTCTGTACTGTCACTTTTGATCAATTTAATGCATCCTTGCTGAATAAAAGTATTCCGTTCTTTAAAAAAAAAAAAATCTTACTGACCCCGAACTTTTGAATAGCAATGTAAGTGCATTTTTACTTATCACGCAGGTAAAGTTTTGTTCACTAGTTTTTAACTTGTTTATACTTAAACAAGTGAAAAAAATCTGTTTCTTCTTGAGTAAATGTGTCATGCTTTGAGATATATAGGCCTGGTTTCACAGACAGGGCTTAGACTAAGCCAGGATTAGGCCATAGTTCAATTAGGACATTTAAGTAATTTTTATAAACGTGCTTAGAAAAAAACATTACTGGTGTGCTTTTTGAGACAAAACAAAGGCACTGATATATTTTAAGATCAGTCAGTGCAAGTTTCTTTCTGTTGAAACAGCTCAGACTTACATTTTAGTCTAGGACTAGACTTAAGCCTTGTCTGTGAAACCAGGGGATAATGTTTTTATATTTTAACTGCAATATTATTATTAATAATACTTAAAAATAGGAAAGTCAGTGCTCTGTACCTTTGTGTCTTCAGGTGAGCGTGTAGGGGGCTTCACGGTGGTCTGTAAGGATGCTGAAGAGGCTAAGCGTGTGGAATCCCAGCTGAAAATTCTCATACGGCCCATCTACTCCAATCCCCCTATGAATGGAGCTCGTATCGCCTCCACCATTCTCAGCACGCCTGAACTCTGCAAAGAATGGTGAGTCCTGAGATAAAGTCCCATCACAAACAATGGGCCAATGAGAACTGAGCTCTACAGACGGTCGCTTTACTGTTTTTCTCTTAGGCTCGTGGAGGTGAAAGACATGGCCGACCGCATCATTAAGATGAGGGAGATGCTTGTGTCGAACCTGAAGAAGGAGGGCTCCACTCATAACTGGCAGCATGTCACTGACCAGATCGGAATGTTCTGCTTCACAGGGCTCAAACCGGAGCAGGCAAGTCAAGTGAAAGTGCATTCTGGGAATCTCTGATAAGGCCTCAGTTATTTTCACTATCAGCCTTTTCTCACTGGCTTTTCTCTGCTTGTCTTCTTTATGGCTGTTTGTCAGGTGGAGCGTCTGATTAAAGAATTCTCTATATACATGACAAAAGACGGCCGGATCTCTGTGGCTGGTGTGACGTCTGCAAACGTGGGATATCTAGCACATGCCATCCACGCTGTTACCAAGTGAAGCTGGCACTAGGGACTAGTTGCAGCAGACAGAGAGCAAGAAAAAGTAATTTAGATGATTCAAAAGTCCTCTGCTGCATGTCTTTTAGGACCAGATATGAAATAGGACTAATGTAGACTTCCAGTTCACTTGATTTGGTGTTAATTCATGACTCTGAATGTGAGCCCCTCAATGAATTAAGGCAGGATTCTTCCTTTCAAAATGATAAAAACGAGCTTTAAAGAATATTGCTTATCATGATTTCCCTTGTCAGAACTGATAAGAATGTTTTTTATGGTACAAAATGTTCCGATAGATCTGTTAACAACATTTAAAAATCATGTTTTTGTTTTTAGAACAATAACTCTAAATAAGAGTGATTGAATGATTACCCTATATGCTTTACGTTAGAGAAATCACTGAAAGGAGTAAACCAGATTTCATGGTTGGACATTAATTGCAAAAACCTTCAAGGACTGTAACCAGTTTATCATGGTCATTTCACCTAGAGGTGCATAAACTATTATACTAATCAAAATGATGATTTGGCACCAAAGGTCTTTAAGCAGTAACACATTCTTAGACATGTTTATGACTATAAGGCACTTATTCTATACTGAGCTACTGAAAGCTTACTTCTAGTGATGAAGGATTGTCCATAGTGTTAGTGTCTAGTATTTCCCAAATGTTACACATAAATCATTTAATAAATTATTAGGCATAAACACAATTGTTTGTTTTATCCTGGCCATTAAATTTAATCTGTCACTGAATCTGGAAAATAGAGTTAAGATTCATTTTGGGATGAAAACTGAACACATACTATAACTGATATTTCAGTGGTTAAGTGATGCTTTAAGAAAAGCTTTGCTTGTTTAATGTGTGTGGATGCTGATTATGTGAATATGCAGTTTGTTCTGTTTTGAAAAACTGTTCATATATTTCTATTTTTGTACCTTAACTACCCCTAAAAGTTGCATATTCCTTACTGTATACACACCTTATTTAGGGGTAGATAAGGTATAAAGGCATGTAAGTGTACTGTCCATAGTAGCCCAAAAGCTATAGTTTATGGTAAAACATTGAGTGCATTGATAATATAAGTGGACTTTCTGTTCTGTTTTGTAAAACTGTTTATATATATATATATATATATATATATATATATATATATATGTATAACTAATTATTGTGTTCCTAAAGCAAATTGAGCAATTCATGACATTTCTCCAGAAGTTCTCTGGAACAGACATCGAAATGAAATGTCACGAGTGATAGCCTACTGTATGACTCTTTTTAAACAATGAACAAAAAAATAAAGGTGAGCTCAACGAAAACAAACGTGTTTAATTATTTAAGGACATCTTATGGAAAGAAAAAAAATGTGTGGGTCACAAGATCGTATTTTATAATAAAGTTACTTAAATGAAATATGGTAAAGCTGAGTTTTTTAAATTATTATTATTGCAGATCTTATGAATACATACGAGAACAGGGAAATGAGACATGGTTATATCTCCTACAAAAAAATAAAAACAATCATAGTAACAAAAACAACTAATCATATGGGTTTGCTTACATCAAGTTATGGCATTATCTACACGGAAAAAAGGAAAGAAAGAAAAGAAAAGCATTACAACCTATCTTTTTCTCTCATTTTAAATAGTCATAATGCATTAAAAAAATTTCACTTTTTTTGTTATTTATAAGTCTAAGCGATGAAACGAGAGTCCAATTCAGCAAGAAAACGTGGAAAAAAACAGGAGATTTAAGCCATTTTTGTTTATGAATAAAGAATTTTGCATTCAATATAAGGAAATTAACAACATATACAACCGGTAATCGCTTTGGATTTTCATAATAAAAAAATAACTGGTAAAGCGGAGCTTTACGCAATGGAGACAGCTGATTCCCTGATCACGTGACTCAAGAGGAGACCGTCATCAAGCTGTTATCTAACTTGTATCGTCTCGTTCAGGATAGGAAATTGAACTCGTATTCTCGAATAAAGTGACAAAATGACTCATGCGTTTAAAAACTGTTCAAACCTAATGGTCACCGGAGCCAGTCGAGGTCTCGGGCTGCAGATAGTTGAGAGTCTGGTAACGGGAGGCTTCTCTCCCGGGAAGATTATTGCTACAGCTCGCAATCCAGATGGAGCCAAGGTAATGCTTTGAGCAGACAGCAGTATTTGCATTAGGCCTACTATACAAACATTAGAAACCATACCCAGATCATTTACAGTCATATTAGCTGCAGGAGAATGTGCACATGCGTAGTTGAGAATTACGATCAACATGCACTATCGTATTTTAAACATTAACATTTTAGGTTGTTATTGACCTATAATGATGTGTACATATGATTTACCTTTTATCTTTTTAGTGATAAATTAATTTGTAAAAGAATAGATATTGCATGTGTGATAATTATAAAAGAAAAAAAAGTTTAACCTGTCTGTTTTACAATAGGAATTGCAAAGTTTGGCAGAAGAGCATCAAAACATACATATAATTAAACTGGGTAAGTACTTAAGCACTATCTAGTCTGGATCAGTAGCTCTTGGCTAGTTTTGGTTCATGACCCTTTTTTTTTTGGTCATTAGGTGGCGAGCTAACACAACACACTTTTTTATTGTGCAAAAAATCCTTCAAGGGATGAATTAAAGGATTAATATTACCATGAACTACCATGAAATTGACAGTTTTATAAATATATAAACAACAGCAAATGTGTTTGCCTTAAACTTAATATAAATAGGGAAGGGTCAGATTTTCACTGCTCCCCGGGCGCCGCAGCATAAAAGGCTGCCCACTGCTCCGGGTGTGTTCACGGTGTGTGTGTGTGTGTGTGTGTGTGTTCACTGCTGTGTGTGTGCACTTAGGATGGGTTAAATGCAGAGCACTAATTCCGAGTATGGGTAACCATACTTGGCCACATGTCACTTCACTTCACTTCTTTTACCATACATTATTTTCTCAATGGTTTAGTGGATGAGGGCATGTTGCCTAGTTGTTCTCCCTTTCCGTGGAGAGAAGAAAAAAAAACTTTTTGGGTGGTGACACCAGTTATTAACAGCAGATCTAAAAGAAGCTGTATTTGAAATTAGAGTTTGTTTTTACCTGACTCTGTTGTGTTAATCGTGGACATCTCTGTTACTAGATGTTACAAGTCAGGAGAGTATAGAGAGAGCTGCATCTGAGGTGGGACAGCTTGTTCAAGAGGAGGGTCTCAACTGTCTCATCAACAATGCTGGAATTAATGTAATTGCCAACCTTGAGACAGTCACTGCAGACAAGATGTTGGAAAACTTCCATACCAACTCTGTTGCCCCGTTGATGATCACCAAGGTTTCATTTTGCAAATTAAATCTACAAACAATATATGCACATATGTACGCTCATCACAGATGTCTAAAAACTTACTGACTTACAGACCTTGTCATGCAGGCCATGCTCCCACTGCTGAAGCGAGCAGCTGCAAAAGAAATGGGGATGGGCATCCACAGAGCAGCAGTCATCAATATGACGTCTCTACTGGGTTCAGTTGAGCTCTACTGGGGTGATCGTGCCAACAGTTTCAAATGGTACCCCTACAGAACATCAAAGGTTTGTGATATTGTGTTCCTGGAGCTCAATGTCAAGATAAAAGTTTCCCTGAGAAGGGACTAAGTAATATAAGTGTATACTCTGAAAGTCGATTTGGATATGTTTATATTTATATTTATATATTTAATCCTTTTGTTGAAGCAGCGTTTTCTATGGAAGCCCATTTTCGCCACGGAATACATTTTTTTTATTTTTTTTATTTAATTGCGACTTTTTTCTCGCAATTTCTTTTAAGAAGTCATAATTGTGAGATATAAACTCAGAATTGCTAAATGTTAACTCAAAACTGCAAAATATAAACTCAGTTCTGTGAAGTAAAGTCTGAATTACGAGATATAAACTCACATTTAAGAGAAAAATGTATTTATATCTTCTTTATATCTTGCAATTCTCACTTTTTTCTCTAAAAAACAAAGACTGACTTGTGAGATTTAAAAAAAATCACAATTGCTTTTTTTTATTCTGTGGCGAAAACAGGCTTTCTTTTCTGTATTGAAGGCTATAATAGTATGTCTGTGAATATATCAGTTGAGATATTGAGTTGCATTTGCTTTATATCAGAGTGCACTGAACATGGTCACCAGATGCTTGGCAGTGGACCTGGAGGCAGATGGGATCCTGTGTATGGCTCTGCATCCAGGCTGGGTACGCACTGATATGGGTGGACCTGAAGTGAGTCTCATTCTTCTATTTGTTCTTTATCACAGCTACCTGCTAACCAAACCGTTACAAAACATCTAAAACGAGTGATAGACTCTTGTGGTTTGTTGATTGTTTTCTATTCAGGCACCATTGAGCCCTGAGGAAAGCATATCCTGTGTGTTGTCTGTGATTGGTGGTTTGACTGAAAAGGATCATGGGTCATTTCTTCACTATACTGGTGAACAGCTACCCTGGTGATGCTGCAGGTGTTTTTTAGATGCAAGCAATAGAAGCTTTATTATTGTTTTGCTAGATATATATATATCTATATATATATATATATATATACACAGTATGTACTGTATGTGGGTCAAAGACATTAAGATGTCCGCATCAAAAGAAATTTACAAAAGTGATTTTATGTCCATAGAAAGCACATTAAATGTAAGTAAAGTGTCTACTTTTAAGGTTTCAAATAAGTTTTTGGAG